GATGGATGGATGGATGGATGGATGGATGGATGGATGGATGGATGGATGGATGGATGGAGAAATAGATGGATTCATGGATGGATAGATGGATGGAGGGATGGATGGATGAGTGAATGGGTGGGTGCATGTGTGGTAGGTTAAGTTTTGGGGGGAAGATATGAACAAACATCATTTCACCCTACATAGAGCAACAATGACAAACCAAAGAAAGGCTTCCACACAAGTCTAGCTTGGGAAACCAAAGAGTTTAACTTAGGTCCTACTGGAGCACTGACAAGTTAGAGGTGGTTCTGCTGACAAGATAGAGACAGGCCCCACCCAGAAATAGTTAATCACTTGCATCCTCACGGAGAAGCAAGGCCTTGTCCATTGCCTCATGTGCAGCGATGTGAGTCATGTGAACATCTAGGACACCTCATGAGCCCTCTTTCCCCTCTAGAAAAGATGTCAGTAGACTTGATCTTGTAAGTGGAATTATATCTGCTGCTCTGATTTCAAGAAAGTCATAACCATGTCATACTTGGAGGGCAGCATTCCTCAATGGTTAGGTGAATGGACTGATGGATGATGGATGGTGGGTGGGTGGATGGATGGTCGATCAATGGATATGAATGAATGAACAGACCAATGAGTGGGTGATGGGTAAATACGGATGGTAAGTGGGGTAGGTAGGTAGATTGACAGACATTATAGCTGAATGTATGGACGATGAAAATTGGACAGATGAACCGACGGTCGGTTGGATGGAGGGAGGGATGAATGTTAGAGTCAAGTGTATTAGTTGTTGGAGGATAGACATGTAGGCCAATTGATGAACGGATAAATGGATAGATGGATGGGTGAGTGGGTGGATGGATGGATAGACGGATGGATGGATGGATATTAATGGCAGGTGGGTGGATAGCGGACAAAAAGATAAGTGGGTAGTGGGTGAGAAGGTGGATGGCAGGAAGGATTAATCAATCACTCACTGAACAAGTGAGTAGAAGAAAGGGGCAACCAGGAGGCAGATGTCAAAGATAGATACTACAAATGGCTAGTTATTTACATGTTTCACACCCCAGTGACACTGTCACTTCTAACCACAGAGTAGCCTTCCCCTTCCCCAAGAGGCATTTCTTTCACCACCTCTAAGCCCTTGGTTGCTCTCGCTCCTCCAG